TCACGTCCTTGAACCCACATAATGCTTATTGGTGCTGCGGCCTCTGTCTTTTCTTGTGTTTCTCGACCGGTTAGGCTACTGTCCACCTGTTAGCAGCCAGCAGGTGGGACAAACGCTTTAAAATCCCTCAGAGACACAAGGAAACTGTTCCAGAAAGTGCCTCACTGGCAAAAGAAACATTACAAGATGGACAGATGGCTGTACATGGTATTACAATCAAAAAACTTTGGCTTGAAAAGTCATGAACTTCAGGAATTGGGTGGTATTTTAATGTAGGATTATATCTGCACTGGAAAAACTGTGAGGTAGATTCACTGTCAGTTTTCAGTGAAATTGTTGCCCACCCAAATTGTTCACAGGGCTTACATGCCATGATCCCAATTAGAGCCCAGGTCACGAGAGAAGCTTTAAATCACACATGTTCTCATTAGCACAACCACAAACTACTGAACTGTATTTTTAGGTGTTGGTTCTCAAGCGATCCCAAGACTAGTCAAATGGTTGGAGACACTATGTGCAAGACATCTGAGGTTTCACATGGATACTACAGAAACTAAAACTTACTTCTCACATTTTGTCTTCACCCTGAAAAACCTGAAAAACCTCCAGAAAGCAATCCAATGATGAAACGTAACCCGTTCATCGTCTTTGTTTTCAATTTCACTGGGGTTAAAGGCTTTTGTATCCTTGTATTCATTAAGTTTCGGTCTATTAAACGGCTCATTTAGGAAGCAATTTCAAGTAATTCAAACCTGCCAAGTCTCATTTGATTGTCCGTTCAAATGTTTAGGATAAATCTGGATGGTCAACGTTACACGTAGTACTCTATAAATGTGCTATAAAACAAATTACGACTATATAAAAAAGTTATTAGTTTAGTTAGCCTAATTGTAATTACTATATTTATACACACACCCAGAGATATATATTTAATACAAAGGTTACAGTAAACGACTGATTCTTCACTGTATTTAGATACATTTTTTATTCATTTTTTTACAGTTTATGAGCATGCAACTGGCTTCTTTTTCTCTCTCATTGAAGAAACTCTAAACAACAAACAGTCGTGGGAGTCATTTGGTAAATATTGGAGAGTCCTTCCTTGCTCAATGACTTGTCCTCATTCACAGAGTGCAGCAAGCCAAGTTTCTATGGAGACAGCATTTTTCTGCTGATGCAAGAACAACCTCTTCAAACCCCCCACATTCCCGCATTTACCTCCACATTTACTCACTCACATATTCAGACGCAAAGCATTGACCTATGGGGAACACTTTTTCAAGACAGAGGTAGAGTGTAACTCTATTTAGTTTTCTGGATGAATTTTCCAACCAAAATCACATAAGGCATTCTTTCCACGGGACCCCACTTTGTGTTTTAACTATCACCCACTCTCTCACCCTCTGAAGCATTTCATTATTTCCAAATCCATGAGCTCAGACAATTTGTGTGTTCTGCTGTGTCAGATGTGGCCTTTGATGTGAACTCCCCAATGCTTGGGTTGTGTTCATTAGCCAACAATGGTGTGATCTTGTGCTCATTTTTTCTAAGAATAACAAGAATGAGAGTAGTCTATAACCTTTAAATCCAAGCTACTGGAACCCAGTGGGAGTCCCAAATTCTGACCTGAGAAAATTTGAACAACACTTAAGTACTTACAGGAGCGAATGGTGAAAAAGACAGATACACTGATCCTTTAAAGGGATACTCCACTTTTTTGGAAATACGCTCATTTTACAACTCCCCCAGAGTTAAACTGTTGAGTTTTACCTTTTGTGAATCAATTCAGCCGATCTCCGTTTCTGGCAGTACCGCTTTTAGCATAGCTTAGCATACATCATTAAAGTGCACACGATTTGTGTGTTCTGCTGTGTCAGATGTGGCCTTTGATGTGAACTCCCCAATGCTTGGGTTGTGTTCATTAGCCAACAATGGTGTGATCTTGTATACTCTCATTCCTGTGTAATAATCAAGAAACTTCACTGTCGTATATCATGATTGCAGCAGGCGTAATGTTATGACGCAGCGCCTGAAAATAGTGCCCAGCTTCCAACGTGACCGGGACTAAGTTTGTGTAGTCATCGTGCCTGCTGCACTCATGGTACGGCAGTAAAGTTTCTTGATTATTACACAGGAATGAGAGTATAGTTTCCTGCATATCAGCCTAGAAAATCGCAACTTTACATTTTCCTTAGTGCACGACGTAACTATACAAGAGTCAAGTTTTAAATAGGAAAAACATCAAAACACTTTGGTAATTTTTTGGGAGAAATGCTAATGGTCGTGTGCACTTTAATGATGTATGCTAAGCTATGCTAAAAGCGGTACCGCCAGAAACGGAGATCGGCTGAATTGATTCACAAAAGGTAAAACTCAACAGTTTAACTCTGGGCGAGTTGTAAATAATGAGCGTATTTCCAAAAAAAGTGGAGTATCCCTTTAAATGGAGATACAGAGGGGCCCAAAAGACCACACTGAAAATCTGGGATTCAGAATCTGACTTTGAACCTTGAGATTAGTTTAGAGATTTAATCTAATTTTAGATAGGACACAGATTTAGTCACTTTCACTTTTCTTGTGTTAAATGTAAAACAGAGGAGGTGATGCTAATGAAATATAGCTGAAATTAGAGAATAGTGAGAAGGTAACTTGAGGCCACCAGCAGAGAGATATTTATACTCAAACTGGGCAAACGTGCTGCTGAAAGCAGTGATGGATGAGATTGGGGCCACTGCGGTGAAACAACACGGACGGCACAAAAGCTGTCCCGCTGAAGAGAAGACACTAAAGCCACTTGAGTGTTGAAAGAAAGACAGCGGGTAGGACATGAGGGTGACTGAGGGTCTGCTTACCTCCTGTAACTTTCCCTGGAAAAACTTTGAAGCTACTGATTAACCTCAAGGATGAATTGGATGTCAGCTTTAACTTTAAGTGACTTTCTTTTGAAATAGGTCACTTTGGATTAAAGTCTCACCTAATGTAAATTACTACAAAAGATGTTGGCAAAGGCAACTGGAATAAGGCCAAGGCTTCTGGGGGTCTCATTTTACCAGGATCACATTACAGGATCAATCAACAGCAGGGAGAAATACTCAAGACTGTAGCAGTGGGGCAGATCCAGGGCTGACATTGTGTGTGGGTTGTGTCTGTGTTTTTGTGTGGTTGGTCAATACAGAGAAGAATAGACAGCATGATGTATCAGGGCTGTGCTGATGTGATCGATTACCTCTCATTGCCAAAAATCTATTTCCCTCCCCAGTGATGGAGAGGGTGCTGAGTTGGACCTAATGGAGGGTGATTTGTCGGGTCAGTAGCCAATAATCACAGGTGTGAAGCGCTCTCTTACATGGGGCTTTGGGGATGTGGCTTTTGGGTCAGTTCTGTTTTTAAATCTAATCAGGTCCATCTTTGCAGTGAAGAAAAAAAGACTTTCGTTGGTATTCCAAAATATAAATGTCCTTAATCCTTTCAAAGGTACATAACATTCTGCTGACACAAATGGTACAAATCGATGACAAAAAAGCGCATAGTTGGTGTCCGTGACTGATTGGAGCTCACTGTTTGCAACAGCTTTATCTGGTATATTGACAACATTTGACGATTCATCCAATATGAATATTCTACCAACACTCTCATTTCATTTCCAACCTGCATAATTTGAATTCTTCCACTGAACACGAAAAAGTCCAAACCGCTGTTTTCCATTTTGAAAAAGTGACGAGCTATCAAGAAGTTATTTACTGAATATCTTTCTTCATTGTTAAATTTCTTAAAATAATACAGTAGTCTTTAAAACTAGATCAGCTTACTCTGCAACACTGCAAAAAATGTTATTGGCATAGATTCTATCTTGAATTTAAGTGATTTGTTTTACTGCACTGGCAGTTTTTTCTCTTGTTTTTAATTTAGTTTTAAAGGGTTAGTTTTTAAAAATATAATTTACTCACCCTCATGCCATCAAATCCGATAAGACTTCCATTCATTTTGAAACACAAAAGAAGATGTTTTAAATGAAATCTGTCCCTCCATTGACAGCTATGAATGAAACTACCACTCTGATGTTTCAAAAAGTTCATAAAGAGATCGTAAAACAAATCCATATGAATCGAGTGGTTTAGTCCAAGAAACTTGATTGCTTTATATGAGGAACTGATTGAATTTAGGCTTTTATTCACATAAACATTGATCAGCAAAACAGAAGCTCACAAACAGAAGCTCAAGTGTTCTTGCTTGATCTGTGAGAACAAAGCCCATTGCTCAAACATGCTGCGTAACACGAGAATTAACCTCATTGGTTCTTGCTGAAGCTCAAACGTGCTGTGTAACATACACTCTTAGAAGAAAAGGTTCTATATAGAACCTTAAAAGGTTCTATCAGCGCTACGTATTTGGAACCCCTAAAAGGTTCTATACTCTCTTAAAAAAGGGTTCCTCTATAGAACCCTGGGGTTCCGTACTTGGCCAATAGAACCTTTTACCAAAAAAAATTGGTTCTATATAGAACCATTTTGGAGTTCCAAATATGAAGCGGGGGATGGAACCATTTCTGGTTCTAAATAGAACCATTTCTACATTTTGAAGCGTCAAAGTGGTAGTTGCGTGGACTGGCAATGGAGGGACAGAAAGCTCAGATTTCATTAAAATATCTTTTTTTGCATTATTGTAGCTTTCAATCTCATTCACACTTGACACCTCAAGATATGTAACAAATAGAAACAATTTTGAGGTATTCCTCACACAAAGTTCAGAGTGCTTGGAATATAGTTAGCGTGGACTACTTTAATGTGCATTTTTAACATCCCGATTTCCTGTTATTATATAGAAAAGAGCAGCTTGCACACAAAATCTCCTTTTGTGTTGCATAGAAAAAGTAAATGAATAGGAATTGTATGAAAGTATGTAAATAAGGACAGTGGCCAAGATGGATCAAAGTATAAACACATTGTATAACATTTCTTTCACAGTATTAGTGTTACACGCCACACAAACGCTTTGACATGTTCAAGAGAACTTTTTTTATTATAAACAGAAGGCATCAAAAACAAAGCAATGTCTGTCCCTCATTTCCAAAATGATTAACAAGTCCTCAATCATTTGTATAACTCTAATATGTACAAAATAATTTTTCAAACTCCTGAGAACTAAATATATATAAAAAAAATTAACATGAGAAGATAAAAAGCACGTTAACTAAGCATGAACATCCTCTGCTTAATGTTCTGGCCTCATATAAAAATATGTTTATTCCATAGACAAATATTTCCTGCCAGAATATGTACAAAAAAAAAAATATTATATACCACGACTGGCCTCTGTAACACTTGCAAGTGCTACTGTTGTAAATTTCCAGTGAGTTTGCACCAAGAGTCATCTTGTTAAAGAAAGGCAAAAAAAAATCTGAAAATACAGTAATTGTGGGAAACACAAATAACAATTCGGGATTACAGAAGACAAAACCCTGTCATTGAATGGTGAAAAAATAAATATCCGATGCTTTTATCTGATGCGTCCAAAGGCACTATGCTTGTAAATATATAAGGAGAAAGCTAGAAATTTAACCTTATAACCAAACCGCCAACTGCCAGCCATTTTTATAACTTCATGAAATTGTGTTGCATTAAACAAGCATGCAAGAGTCAAGAATTTTTAGAGTTTAAAAATAATTTCTGAATGAAATGAGAAAAAAGCCAATTAAAATAATGAAAATACTAGACTCGAGATTCTTTTTAAGAAGTGTCAATACTATGTTTTTTATAATTAATGATACAGATTACGGCCCCAGATGAAAAGCAGCCCAATTTGTTGTCCTAAACTCGAAACAGGCTACACCACAGCTGTAGCAACACTGCAGCTGATTTATGAACAATGAACTCAGGCGTTAGCAACTGTCATATCTTTTTCAAAAGGCATGCAACGTGTGACCATTGAGACTTAAGGAGAAAAACAACCTTGCGTGCTTGCGAACAGATGCTCAGCACAACTCTAAGATGGAATGAAACAAGGTCTGTTTGCAAGAGAGCAGAAAATATTAATTACAAAGTTCGATCTTTGAGGTAAAGCAGGCTAGAGGAAGCCCATACGGCACGTCTGCTGTGCGCCAGACGGGTTATTCTGGGAAATCAGAAGCTCCCGACACCGAAATGGGAGTGTATGAGTATCAAGGGTGGAGAGATGGAGAGAAAAAAAAGAAATCAGCATAAAATTAAAAGGAGTGAACTAAATTGGCAAAGGCCACAAGGCTTCGGTAAAAACCTCAGGGGCCGACCGTGGTCCTTTTGATCTGTCATGGCGAACGTCAACCCCCCATCAGCCTGTGACAGGTCCTCAGCACAACCACATGAAGCAGACTCTTCCTTTGCTCTCTAACATATCCATTAATGAAAAAGACACTGCCGTAAGAGGGGTGTGTGATGAAATATGTCCAAATATAGACAAGCTGGGCTAAAATCAAACTGCATGTGTTGAGTTGAGAGAAACATGCTGTATTTTTATGCATATACAGCAAAAAAAGTTTGCTAATCAGTATTTTTGTCATTTTTTCAGTAAAAATATTTACAGATCTTAATAGATTAAATTTAGCTAAAAAATTGTTAATGATTAAAACAGGAAAACAATCAAAACTTTCTTCCATGTAACATCAAAAGTAATGTTTGAAGGTTCTAATTATATAAATTATCATAATATAACATGAATATATTTAATACATTTAGCTGAGAAGCAAAATTAGAATGATAGGTATTGAATTTATTTATTGGCATTTTTTTTTCTTGTTTTAACTTTCTTTCATGAAACACCAAAAGTACATTTGGGAATATTCTTTACAATAATATGCATTTTCTTGAAAAGCAAAAAATATCATAAACAGAATAAAGATATTTGTATTTATTACAATATTAATATATTAATTATATGATTATTTATCTGAGAAGTAAAATTTACACAATACATCTTGAATGATGTTAATTCTTTTGTAAATTTGATTCATGCTAAAATCAATATTAATAACACCGACAAAAAACTATACAAATCTTCTTCTACGGAACACCAAATGTAATATTTAAATATTCTTTATGAAATATTTTTGCTTCTCAAAAAAAAATCTTATTTTGATGACATTTTTCCTAAAAAAAAAAAATAGACCAAAATACTGATACTGAAAAAATGAAAATCAAATTCCCTGCATTCAAAACATAAAACTCAAGACGTTCAAGGTCAGTTTCTGTGACTCTTCATGTGAAACTAAAGTGATGTTTTGCTCCTACATTGGAGAAGTCATTTGTATTCAATAATAACAAAGAAAGGAAAGAACTAAGAATACGCTGCACCTGGTTTTAAAGCTAACAGTTATGTGCAATGTGGTAACGGGAATGGTTACGCACACAGTGTAGCTTAATTTTAGCAGACTTGTTTTCTTTGTGTAAATCCACCCTATGATCATAAACCATGTAAACCTCTCCCTTTACATCCTGAAGTCACAGCAGTCCACCGAACGAAACACATTCAGAACATATCTGCAGTAAATCAGCCGTTTGCTACGCGTAAAACGTGAGGGTGAAATCGTAAACCGAGTTTGGAGAAGACATTTTAAATGTACACTTTATCTCACTCTGCTGAGTTATATAACACTTCCTCTGCCGACTTTTAAATTATTGTTGTCCAGTAAAAGTTCCCCTGCCTTTTCAAACATACCATTCCCTGCGTGAAATCACAGATCCATCCACGTGAGACACGTAGTCGCTGTCTGTGCCATTGTCGTAGCACTCGTCCTGCAGGTAAGGGGAGCCGTTGTGTAGAGGCGGCCCGCTGGGGTTCACGTTATGATGGTTGTGGTGGTCGGAGTAATACGTGTCCTCTCTCTTAAGGCTGAGATTGTCACTCCAGGCCTCCATGTCTTTGTGATCATTGGGATAATCGGGGTAGATAATGTCTCCTTCTGGTTTGGGCTTCAAGTCCTGGCTGCCATTGCCCGAGTCGTCTCCGTACACGTCGTGAAGCTCATGGGGTTGAAGTACATCCAGTTGAGACTCTTTTTGCATGTCTGATGGGCCGATGTACTGCTTGGTGTAGTAGTCTCCTCTGAATGTTCGGCGTTGACGCATGTAGAAAGCTCCCGCCAGTGCCATCAGCAACACCAGGATCAGGATGCCACCGACAGCACCGCCCACAATAGTGCCCAGGCTGCTGTCCGGCGGAGAGGCCTGAGTCGGGGAGGTGAAGTGGGCACGCCGATTGATAGAAGCTGTGATGGTTAAGCCGGTGCCAGGCAGGATGGACTTGGTGGTGGTGGTGGTGGTGGTGGGGGCTGCAGTGGTCGGGGGCGGCTCTGAGAGGGCGAAATATGGACGGACGTTAAAATACAGACAAAGAAATCATTTTCTTTCTTTCGCCGTAATTTCATTTCCTTGCCACGGCCAAACCGTTTGATATATCAAAAATCCCCTGGCAATTTTTCATCCTCAATGACTTGACTTCACGCTGATGAGTTTCATGGCATTTGGATGAATTCTCTAGGAGGAGTACTTTAAATTCCATTGCATGCATTTTCCAAACAACCCTTAGTAAACGATTTCCTGTTGGGCTGCGTAAAACTTAGAGAACGAAAGTTGTTCAACCTGATGAGATCTATAAGCGTACTGAGTTTCATATCATTCGAGAATGTTAAGGGCCCCGTAAGTTCAAAAAAGGTAGTATAATAATAATAGTAATAATAATAATCCTAAGGAAAACAATAGGGCCTTTGCCTTTTCAAGGTTTGGGCCCTAACTATGTGCAGCAGGGATGACATAATTTAAGTCAACCTCGAAGTTAGCATCTCCCAAAAACACAATAGGATTTTTCCATTGGCTTTTGAATAATTGCAGAATGTAAGAATAAAACATGAAAATATATTGAGCTTTTGTTCACCACAAACCTTATGTCAGGCATTTAAACCCAATTAAAACAAACAAACAAAAAACATCGACTTTTCAACGATGGAACTGGATGTACAAAAATTCTGGCTTTTTAAAACTCATTCCTATAGCACTCTATTATTAATGAAATAATACATTTATTTTACCCATTTTATTTGTGTGCCAACTTAACATTTAAACAACAAGCTAAATATCAATTGAATCAATTCTCTCTATCCAGTATGGAGAACTATGTGTGTGGTGCTGGTGCTAAAAAAAACAGTGTCTATCAACCTTGTCATTTTTATCCAGCTTCACCGAGTCAGCAACTTGGTAAATTGTTTATGCCTCACTTGAGTAAATAACTGTGTGGTTAAGTGAATGGTGTGTATTTCAAGAGGGAAGAGTAAATGTCAAGATATAATTTATCACCCAGTGATCCTTCCTCAAACTTCAGCCCCTTATGGACTAAACATCATCACTTGTATGTGTGGAGTTGAAAGGTTACAAGAAACTTCTCACCTAGTACCAAGAAGCGTACATCCTGAAAGCTCTGCCCAACATCATTCTGAACTTCACACCTGTATTGTCCAGAGTCGCTCGACTTTAAAGGACGAGTAAACAGTAGGCTGCCATTAGATGTGTCCACACCTGCAGGCATTGGTGCGTCCAGCCTGGGGAGTGACAAAAGATTTAGACAGATTATCAGTTTAGAGCTTGTTGACAACAAGTTTTGCAGAAGGAATTCACCCTGACAACCTTTGAAGGCCCTGATATACTTCGAGCTAAATCGAAGAAAGAAATTGTGTGACATTATTTCGAACAAAATCAGGCCAAAACAAAGTTTGCCAACAGTTTCTGAAAAGTTCGCTCTGATTTGAAAATACCTTCGAACTACTATTGATCTGTGGTGATTTAGTAATAGGCAGGTGTGGCTCTGTGGCTCTACCTTCTTTAACATGGAAATCTTCTTTTCTTCTGTTCAGTCTGCCGAGGTCAGACACGAGTAAAAACATGAACAAACTGGAGAGCTGCTTTATAATGGAAATTAGAGTTGTAATTCTAATTGAAAGAGACACTGATACATTTATTTAAAGCTGCTTTCTTTAAATCTACACTGTGTAACTCTTTTAGTTTATTCTTAGCTAAAAACACTTAGTTCTTTCAAAAATATATGTGCTCATTAATGTATATTTACTTTGTTCAAGTAATAAAGTATTCTCGTGAGTATATAATATGCCATTGAAAATACATACGGGTAAGGGGTTCTAATGTCGGTCGCCATGTTGCCCCTCCATCTTGAAAGTACATTAGCCAAAGAGGGACATACCCGTTAATTCAAGCTTCGCCTTTCGCGTTTACGTTTGAGTTAACACTCAGGGACAAGGTCGAATTGGAAGCCATGTTAATCTTGGACTACATTGGCCACCGTCGGAGTTTAAACGAAATCGGAATTGAGAGGAACTGAAACTAATATTCACTTGATGGTCATATACCTTTTCACCACTAGATGGGGGTAAAAATCACACAATGTAGCTTTAAAGTAATCAATTGTATAAAGTGCTATTTAAATAAATGTAACACGACACCACTGTCATTTTTTGTTGTGTGATCATTTTGATATTTAGAGGAAAGCACATATTTGACATATTCATCGAAATGTCATTCTCATGCAGTGTGGGCTGTTCACTAACAGTATTAACAGTATTTCAAACTTCTCTTTCCCCCTCAGAAAAATGCAACAAAATAACTTTTTTGTGTGTGTTTATCAGGGCCTTTATTCTCATCTACAACCATCTCTAGATTTTACCATTGAATTGAAAGGTCTGATAAGATTATGATGTAGTGTAGATGAGAGCACAGACCTGGTCCAGAGGTACAACAGAGCAGGTGGGTTGGCACTGGCTCTACAATCCAGCTGTACATTTTTTTGTCCCACATACCATACATCCTCCTGGCCCATCACGGTAATATCTGGAGCAACTGTAACATAATTTAAAATATGTTGTTTATTAAAAATTCAGTGTTGCATAAAATTAAAAGGCAGAATATGAATTTCACCTTGCTATAAAAATATAGTCATTTTCTCTACACAAAAATTGAACTTTTTTAAGGCTGGGTATTGCCACATATTTCTTCTTGATTCGATTTCTGCTTGTCATTTTTTTTAAAGGTTTAGTTAAAAAGCTTCCATTTACCATATCTTATGGGTGCCTTGATGAATGTTTATATGAGAATAAAAGCTTAAATTAAATAAAAAGCGATATAAATAAAAAGCGTCATATAAAGAGATCGTGTATTTTCAGAAAATTTACACTAAACCAGTCAATTCATATGGATTAGTGAATCAGTATATCTATGAAAAGTGTCAATTGTGTCACTTTAAATATCTTCATTTGTATTTTGAATGTTCACTTTTGGGTGAACTAACCCTTTGAGGAAAAATATAATGCTTTAAACTATAAAGGAACCCCCGAAGTGGGTCCATTACTACAATATTAAAGGTCAAAATGAACAATAAACTTTGTTTTCTGTAGCATTTTTTTTTATTTCCAAGCAATAAAAATATAAATTATATGAATGAGACGTTAAAATTAAGCCTGACACCATTCTCACGCTTTGGACTTGAGTCCCAGAAACAGCAAGGGGAGACATAGGCTAACTCAATTACACAAAACCTCAGGATCCCGAGGCTTAGCTGTGGCAAAGAAAATAAACTGACATGTAATATTGAGAGAAGATTCAGGAGTGAAACAGTCAGAGATTCACCCCAGCAGTCTATACAACACCAACATGATCAAATTCATATCAACATAGGCAGTGTTATACTTTCTTTCTTATTGAACAATGTAAAACACAGTTGCACATTTAAACACATTGCAAATAAATCAATTATCTAAGTAAGATTTTTTTTTGGTATTTTTCAGTAAAATACTGTATATAAACATTTTTAAAAGAATAATTGCGTAAGATATTTAGACTTACATTAAGAAAATATATCTTAGCTACATTACATTTAGATTTCTTGCCAAAATATCAAATTGTTTTGCTCTTATTTTTAGCACAGATATCACCATTTGTAGGTAAGATTTATTTATATATTTGTATGTAAGTTTTAAACAAGACTTACAATCTTAAAATGTTGCTTCAAGTAAATATATTGTTTTAATGATATATTAGATATTGTTAATGGATATCTAAATTTTGCATTGTCAGCTCTGTCTATGATTAAACCATTAGTATTAATACATGTATGAGCTTGTAAAGCTCAATAGTTGTTTTTGGACTTTTAAACACTTTGGAAGGCAATTTGTGATTTAATAAGTACTAAAGCCTCACTCTGTCTCTCTGAACTCTCCCTCTTGTATTTCCGTTCCTGTTGCTGCCCTTGCTGTGCTCAGATCAATATTTCATAAAGCACCTCCATTAAGCTGCACACTGTTCGAACAGACAGCAGTCAACAGCTTAAGATGCCAAAGGAAAGCGCATTGAGAATTAATAAATGTGATGATACACAGGGCAACTTTCTGAGCAATGTTGCTGGGCAATCTGAGCGATGGTTGCTTGGGCACATTCCCATTGAAAATGGGCAATACATTTCTATCTGGATCATTTAGATCAGTCGTGGGCCCTTTGTCTCATCTGGTTGCCCGTTGATGGCACCATTGCCCGAAAAGTTGTCTTGGGTATCATAACTTTTGGCCATTAAAATAACTCCTATAAGAGAGCTATCAGTGCTCATTTCAACATACAGAAAACCTATTGAACTCTTGAAATACAAAACAGGAGTAAAGTGAGAACGTAAATAAAAGCTATTCACACTCACAAAACACATTGATCTTGTAGGGAATGCGGAAATCTTTGGATAGGGCTGGGTGACGAACAACGCAGCTGAGAGAACGGCCAAATGCATCCTGGGTGGGGGCCAAGATGTAGTGTACTAAAGTGGTGGTAGTGCCTTCAGGCTCCTTCTGCGAGACGACTGATGTCTGACCCGGTAGGTCTGATTCCCAGAACACTTCTGCCGCCGGGCGACCCCTTTCAGCTGTACATGTCGCCACCAGTGTTTCACCATCTCCAGCCGTCAGAGACAAGGAGCCAGGAGATACATAGACCTTTGGCTCCACTAAAGGGAAAAAAGAGAAAGAGATTAAACAAAACTGAAAAGTTTTTATTTTTTATTTTTTATTTTTTTTTACATATTTTAATATATAATATAATGCAGATTATTTGTTATAAAAAATCTTTTACATTTTGTAAGTTCTACTTTTTAGGTCAGTAAGATTAAAAAAAATAAAAAAATCACAATGGGCTTCAACATTAATAAGAAATGTTTATTGAGCAGCAAATCAACATTTTAGAATGATTTTTGAAAAATCATGTGACACTCAAGACTGGAGTAATGCTGAAAATTCCACTTCGAATCACAGGAATAAATTATATTTAAAGATATGTTAGAATAGAAAACCATTATTTTAAATTAAAATAATATTTAAATATATTACAGTTTTTACTGCACTTTTGATAAAAAAAATAAATAAAAAAAAATGCAGCCTTGGTGAACATTATAATACATAAAACACACATAAAATCTTACCAACTCTAAACTTTTGAATGGTACTGTATAGAAAATACATTTGAAAGAAAATAAAATAAAATGAATACATTTTTGTATTATTTAATACAGACCTTGACTACAAGGTTACTCTAAATGCACATTCCTCAAGAAAACAAGAAATACATAATAAAAATATGAAAGTGTAAGGAAGAACTGTTTAAAATGTGTTATTGATATTGAACCTAAAGGATGAAATACAACAAGATGAATAAATAAGGAAGGGGGAAAAGTCATGTAAAGGGAGGAGATAGGCCTTTGTATACTCAGAATTGATTGATTAACCCAACCCCACAAATTCACATTAAAAATAGATGATCTAAAATTACTGAGAAGTAACACAACATCACTAAGTGCATCTGAGTGGCTTCTGCCTCTACCAATAAGCGTGGCATATTAGTATCTTATTACTAAGAGTCTACATGGATTTACAGAGAACAAAAGGAAATACACATCATGTATTACAGCTGAATCAATCATTGTGAAATGTTTTGCTGCCATGATTTGTTCAGCTGCCCTGTGCAATAAAACCCCACATTTGTTGAATTAAAACAACTGACTTAATTTCAACTATTTTTATTTCTGAAAAAAATAAATAAATAAATAAAATTAGATCACCACTCATTTCACACTACAAGACAGTGTCCAATTTCGATTTTGTTCTCCAATTTTATTTTTTAATTTAGGATGTTTACAGGACCTTATAAATGTGCCCTATAACTGGTCTAGCAATACACACGCAAATAACACCTTACTCTGGTATGTATAAGGTACTCAATGATATCATATTTCATTATTACATGAAATTAGAAGATCTTATAGTCTTACTTAAATGCATCAGGATTAACATTACCAACTGTGACATGCACTTTAAAATAATCATAATAATACTGCAAATTTGTGATGTTTTAAAACAGATACATGAATACATTTCTGTTTTATATTATATAGTAATTAAAAAAATATATATTTTTTAAATACAAGTGATAATAATCACAACAGATTTGAATAACTATTTATTAATAAACATATAAACCACAATATTATATTGAACCACGATGCAATATTGACATTATAATGCATTTATAGGTCTTTGAGTGTGTCTCACCATTAATGAAATCACACGGCATTCAAATCATCTGACACATATTTGATTAATGGTATTTCCACATACCGTTCAAAAGTTTGGGGTTTGTAAGTTTTTTTTAATGTTTTGTATAAAAATACAGAAATATCAGTAATATTGTGAAAAATTATACAAATTTTAAGTACTTTTTTCTATTTAATGTAATATTTTTCTAAAATGTAATTTATTCCTGTGATGCAAAGCATCATTACTCCAGTCTTCAGTGTCACATGATCCTTCAGAAATCAGTCTAATATGCTGATTTGATGCTCAAGAAACATTTATTATTATTTTCAATGTTGAAAACAGTGCTGCTTAATATACTTTTGTAGAAACCATAATACATAATTTCTCAGAATTCTTTGATGAATAGAAAGTTCAAATGAACAGCATTTATTTGAAGTAAAAACCTTTTGTAACATTATAAATAACTTTTTTATAATTTAATGCATCCCTGGTGAGTAAAAGTATTAAAGTGTAAAAATATATTAGAGTACTAAATGAAAATCGGCACAAAATTGTTCAGATACAATGTGTTTTTAGCAGATTTGACACATAGTGTTGTGAACTCAGCCATAATATCCTTCATTAATAAAAACGTATAAATCCAATTTTCATTTGTCCTTTTCCCTCATTCTTTTCTCCATACTCTCTCTAGAGAATTGCAACAGCTGTGCTCTTAAGAAACAGTTTTACCATGTGGGCCAGGAACGTCAACTTAATCCTACACGCAAGGCCGTCTGCTCCACACCTGTCCTACTCTGTTTACAGGCCGCTCCTGTATACAAGAAATCTAAATAACCCCAGGGACCCCAATGCTAAATATAGCCCTGCGGCACCTGAACGGGAGGGGGGGGGGACCACAGTGCATCACTGACATCTGAGTGCCAAGATCAGACCCACCCTGCATTCATCCAACCTGAACCCTATGCCATCTGCATCACACTGGAGTTCTGCTGACTCAGAGCTTGCAGGGGCATCTTGGCAACTCATTCACACCCAACACTCCTGATAAAAGAAATAAAGAGCCAGCTGATCTGATGGCGCAGGTTGTGGTTGTGGGAGAGGGCCAGGGTATTGATTTATCATCAAACGGGGCAGGATTCAGGGCTGGGTCACTGTCGCCTACATAAATCCAGACCCAAAACATTCCTGTTCAGACCACGGCTGTCACCAAAACCGCTGTTCCTCAAACAATTTCTGTCATTATAATGGACTGCAAGTGAAAGCAGAATAATTGTGTTTAAAAAGAGGAAGAGAATGAATTGTGGGTACAAATTACACCGCTTAGCTTGCGTGCAACATCTGATGTGTTTTATTGTAAAAATTCACACGGTCACTGAGAATTCCAGCGATGACTCATCACTGTTAAATTTACAGGAATAGGAATGGCGGCTTTAAGCCTGTGTCCACTGACTTTTATAGTTTTAGGGTTTTGAGTAAATTTCTCATTTTTCTTTGAAAATGCCATGGAAAAATAAGGCGTTGCTATAACGTCTGAATCTGCAATGCCATTACAGACTGGATTGATAAAATTCAAACTTTCGGTTCCCACTTACAATAAGGAAAAGATTAGCTTTGGGTTTTTTTATGTTTTGCAGGAATGAAGGAAATAAACAAGGAGAAAAAAATGGCGCCCCACAATACAAAAATAGAACAAGGAATGTACTATCATGCCAGTGTGTGACAGATATTTTTGTCATCTCTGTGGTGTTTGACAACACTTCATTTCACCAAAACAGAAAAGGGGCAGTTTGAAGGGTGTTTCCACCCCTTTCTATAATTACAAAACACAAAAATAAGCCGTTTCAACACAAGTTTCTAAATCATAACTTCCCTATAATTCCGGTCTTGTTTTCAATAGAGAATTTTTGGAATGGTAGTTAATTACTTTTAAGTGCCTTGGATACATAAATGCATAAATAAATGTGTTTATCTATGTTTTGATATTGCTTATGCTTTTTTGTGCTCAAACTTTGGAAAAATAAAATAAGGATGGATGGATTTATGACACCTATAACAAGCTATAGGGTTTAGGAGGATTTCTAATGTGTTACCAAATGATTCATCTGAAAGAATTCACAACTACATCACAAAGATGTGCTTACCCATAATGTCCACAGTTGTAGATGCCTGCATGTTTCCAAGTTGGAAGGTGACCACTTTACAAGTGTAGGTCCCAATGTCGGCAAAACTCATGCCTTCCAGGACAATGGACACATCATGCATTGAAGGCTTGATGAAGTGCACCCGTCTCCTGTACTCCTCAGCTATGGAAGTCCCATACTGGGGGTTGAAGACAGCCAAAGTGACGGTGCCGGAGGGCAGCCGGCGTTCCCAGGAACTCTGGGTCAGGCTGAGGTCTGTGCTGACCTCCACCCTACAGGTCAAAGTAACGTTTTTCCCCAGCACTGCCGTCACCTGCTCAGGAACCACCACCTTGTTGGCCCACACACCTGGTGAGATACAGATCATCAGGATTAATGATAAAGGACCCTTACCCTCCTGGTTATACAAAAGATTATGTACAAGCCTCCATTACGAATTAAAAAAACGTCATGTTAGAACTAGAAATAGCTTGGGCCATTTCTGGAAAGCTAACAAGGAGGTAGCATGGTGCAGTTCAACAGTTTAATAAGCAAATCAATATTGAATAATTTACATTTTAAACACAATATTTCTAGATAATTTGTCTGTTTTTTGTAGGGCTGTGCAAAAATTAACTGCGATTAATCGCATCCAAAATAAAAGTCTGTGTTTACATAATATATTTGTGTGTGCTGTGTATAATTATTTTGTATATATAAATACCTATGCATGCATGTATATATTTAAGAATTATTTGTGCTTAAATTCTGTATATATATATATATATATATAAATACATAATCTATATTATATAAATATAAATATTTTATTCATGAATAACACATTTTCTTAAATATATACATGCATGTGTGTGTGTTTATATATACAAAATAATTATACACAGCAAAAAAATCTTCACCACTAATGCACAGACTGACAGTCTGTTTGGGACAAACACAGACTAGAGGAGGCAAGGCAAGGCGAGATTATATATAAAGCACATTTCATACACAATGGTAATTCAAAATGCTTTACATAGAAAAGGAATTAGAATAGTCATAAAATAATCACAACTGATGCATAAGAAGTAAAAATATCATGTATAAGAAAGAGTCAGAGAGCTAGGTTCGCGGGACACACTAGTAGCAACTCCCGGCTTCTTAGTGACCACACTGTCATCCTTTGATGGCTTCCATTGTCGCTCCAACCCCTTAATGGAGTGCAGTGACAAACAGTAAAAAGTTCCAGTCTTGCATTGACACTCTTGATTCGAGAACCGAAACAACTAACAGTGTTATACATAATGTAAAGCAGTTTAGAAGGATCTCACAGAAACCTTTTTATATTATACCGTGAATCAGTTTAAAATGTTAAATGCACTTAAACAGTTCCATCTGTCTAATCCTGCTGACATCACTTACATCAGAAGAACCTTTGAAAGGTCATAACTGAAGTACAGTAGTGGGAGATCCAGTAAGGCAGATAATGAGGGCTCGTGTTTTCCCCAGCCTTAATTACGCCCCGTGCGGGAGTCCTTCCTTCTCAACTGCAGCAGACTGAGAGTGCTGTGCCACACAGCCCGTGCTTCACATTCATAATGAGCACCATACAGACCCCCGCGTCACGCTGCGGGACGCTCCGACTGTCCTCTCAGTTAACAGTCTGAGCACCTTGCCAAATAAAAGCCACTGGAACAAGATGAAAAACACCAACAGCCAATTTGGGAGTTCTTTTACTGTTTAATGGGTCTCTTTAATCTGCGTCTGTGTCCTTTGCATGTTTACTTGAACACACCGGAGTTATTTGCTGATACATGTAAACATGAGATTCTGGTGAGCTGGCAGTTAACGTTACAATGGCTGAGATTGATTAAAAAAAGATGTTTTGGGAAGAGAACATCAGGAATGAGCGCAATCATCCTAATTCGTGGAAGTGAACTACTATTGATGATGTATTATTCGATAAATCTGAGTGTTCTCACTCCCTCTCCTGACATGCATGACTGATGGACTGCAAGCAGAGACAATAGGCTATATCTTGTTTCAGCTTTTGCAGAACATTCACAGCAGATAGGCGGAAGTGCTGTTGTGTGCTGACGCTTTGAAAACAAAAACAAAAGTTCAAAAACCAAAATATAACAGTGATATGAGCAACGCCTTTTGTACCCAAATAATACAATGTGAACACAATCTAGCTGGGGGAGGGAGAGGGGCAATCAAACTCGGGTCCAGGCCAGGCAATCGAACCAAGTGTTAAACCCTTAAATATTGGCAAAATTCACATTCTTTTTTTCTTCTCAGTAAACATTGCAAAAATATTGATGACTCATACTGCAGGACAGTTTTTGTGTTCTCTACAAAAATACCTTAATTATATGTATAGCCTACCACTATCATTCAGAAGTATATACCGTGGGGAGTGCCCGGCCCGGACGTGGACGTCATGGCGGCCCGGTGTGAGAGCACCTGACAGAGGAGGCCATGGAAGGACCAGCGTTTCCCTGGGGCCTGCTCTGCCAGGAGCCTGGCGACAGAGGGGGATGAGAGCGGTACGGTCCGGAGACGGCACACACTGTCATCCGACTCTGAGTCAGAGGAGGACCAGGGGTGCATGGCCTGGGGGCGGCGCACTGTCTCGTCCGAGAACTAGTGTGCTCAGGGATGAGGGTGTCACTTCTTTCTTTAACCACATTAGGGTGTTGGTAATCTCAGCCTCAGACGTCACGCCCACGGAACGTTGGCTAAACGTCTGATGCATATGGTATACTTAACTGGAAACACTTCAGGAATGTCGAAGCCGTCGTCTGATTGGTTGAATTTTATCGGATTTCCGGGGGGCGTCAGTGTCGCGTTTATTTTCGATCCGCCGGGAAACAAAGCGCAGACGTGTGATTGCGGAAGAAAAACTGTTGTGTTTATATGAGTGACAAAGAGCATTTATCAAGATCAGCTAAACGTAGTTGTATGTCCCCTTCTATCTATTATGGAAGATCAAGTGAAGGACCCAACCGCGAAGGGGATATCAGCCGCGTTTGTGGGCAAACATGAAACAACAGACGCTGACATCGCAGCAGGCCGATTCAGTATTCATATATAGGGCGCACTGGATTATAAGGCGCATACGATACTGCAGAGTCAAACGTTTGACTGGGTTTGCGTTATGCATCCACTAGATGTACTAAAGGCTAAAGGGAATGTAGCGAGTACTCGGCGCCGGAGGTGAGGCGTTTATTTAGTAGGCGTGAGCGCGCTGGGGCGGGGACGTAACTTACATTCGCAGCCTGACTCATGTGAGTATTCAATGTGCGGCGGCTCGCTGACAGCTACAGCTGGAGACGACCCGGTTACCATGAATGGGGAGCGCTTTATGAACATACTGTGACGCACGAGCAGCGCCGGGGACAGTGTGTCTGTTAAGAGTGAGCACTCGTGAGTGGGCACGTGATTTACACACATAACTTGATTTATACGAGGTTGAACTGGCCGTGTGACAAAGATGGACATTAGATGGACATGAGCGCGAGTTCGTGGGTGAATTTAATAACGCGGAGCGTTGTTAACAAATTGATCCATATATGAGGCGGAGCGCATTCGGTGACTGCTGCTGACTGACTTGTTGCACGCCGGTCTGTTGTTGTGGGGACATTTCCACGCCCTGATATGTGACGCTGAACGAAACGAACTGTAATTTGTTGTATGACATGTCGGTCAAACGGCCTTATGGGCGGGCCTTGGCCAAAGAAAGCTGCTATGAATTCCAGACCTTCAGCCGTCATTCTGAAGGTCTGGCTACGCGAGACTAGGGTGTTGCCCACCCGAGGGTGAGTAGCGGGGAGTGGAGAACAAAAGATTCTCCCCCGGCCCTCCACCAGGGGATGGAGTTGTCAAGCTACCATCTCCAGCGAAGTGACCAACATCCCTGAGCAGCCCGTCTCAGGAATGCCGCTTGGCCCGGCGTTTAGCGGGGGGCGGGGGTGGAGAGGGCTGGGGCGCCTTCTTGCGGTTTTCTCCACGACCGAGCCCAGGTGGCACCTGCCCGGCCATCTGGGTGGAGGCAGGAGCTGGCCGACGGGGCAGGATGTGCTTATGGCCTCAGTCTGCTTCTGAGCAGTCGAGAACTTTTGGGCAAAGTCCTCGACTGCACCGCCGAAAAGGCCGGCCTGTCCTACCCTTGTGCATGTCTCTGAGCATCTGGGTAGACCTGCAGAGTGGCCATAGCATGCAGAGAAGTAGATGCCTGTCCCGCCACTCTGCAGGACTTCGCCACTAACATAGACGAAAACCTTTGGATGGGTGCTTAGGCTCGCAGCCAGAAGAAGCACTCTGAGGACATAGTTGCATCGCTCAACCGGGAGGATCCCAGTGTACCCACAGACAGCTGCCCCATTCAGGCGAGGAAAGGTGGATGAAATCAGCGAGCGGTCACGGGAAGACATGGGGGTCTTCCAGGACTTTGAGATCTCACCATGCACATCAGTGAAGAAAGGTATGGACGTGGACGGACCCAAAAACTTATGGTTCTGTATTTCTGATGTAATTCTTGTTTGCTGCATGTAAACAGTGCTTTACATATAGTGACACTTCCATTTCATGTGCTTCCCTGGTATCCTTGCATGGATATGAAGAAAAAGTTACCAGGCTTGTTGAAAGATGAAAAATATCACACAATTTGATAATTTTAAGAATGATGGGGCCAATCAAGTAAAGTCATGCAGCTTTGGAACAATATAAGGGTAAGTTGAATGATGACAGAAGTTTATATTTTGGGCGAACTATCCCTTTAACGGTCAATTCTGGAGAGAAAACAACAGTAGCTTCGCCTCATTCAAGAAAGCATGGTGTTCTGAAAACAAAATAAATGAACACGTTTCCATAAAGATCACTGGAAAACACAGAAAAATTATAGGTTACAGAATGAGAGCTGTGCAAAACATATTCTGAGAGAAACACATAGCAGTGAAAATAAAAATTTCCTCAGTCATTAAAGCCCACAAATTGCTGCATTTCAGATGGAAAAATTGTTAATCGAGACACTGAGCTTTCCTCTTTTTCTTCTGCTTGTACAAATGACTGCTCTAATAACTATTCATACAGTCAAAACACAAGGTAAAACCTATGATATTTAAAATACATAGAATGGGTATACGAGACCAAATCATAAAAACGTGGGTCTATGGAGGCACTAAATAGTGGCTGATATTTTGAAACCTTGGCAGCTGCATACTAGTGGTAAACCTCTGCTATTATATCTTGCCTGTATGGGTGCAGGCTCTCCCTCTGCCTGTTCCCCTACCCACCCTGTAATTGCAAGAATACCACCACACACACACAAAGTCAGGAGTGAGAGAGAGAGAGAGAGAGAGAGTACA